CGAGTATGATGCCGGCTAAACGTTTGAGAATGTGCTGGGAATCATGACAACTACTGTGGCAGACGACTTCGAACTAGGTGCGTTCTACTAAGTCGCTCTGACAACAAGACCAACGAGGTCAACCCACTTTTTTAAATCGAAAGGAGACTGCGACCATACCAGAGGCCACAACATCTTCGTCTTCACATCTTCTCTTACCTAAAGTTGTATTTCTCAAATTATCATAGTTTTAGTTCAAAGTTAATCCTATAGCCTGATAGATCCGCTAACAGGAATGATGGTGTACATCGACTCAATATCAAACTAACCAGAAAATTCCCACTTTCTATCCTCTCCTCATTGACTAAATGAACAAATTTGTAAGAAATCCTTATTGAAAGCTACCATGCCTCGGAGATTTGCTTTACTTGTTGACAGATATATCGGCATGTTTAATTCTAGGTTTAAATCATAACCGCCTGTGTGACAATGCACCACTTCCCTTTTTCCCGCTTTAATCGCGGAAAGCACCCTCCTCTCATCCGTTAAGTTGATACTCTCATATAATCCTAGGATGTTCATGTGTGTGTTGATTGGTATTCCCCGTGGTCAAACATGTAACTAGTCGCCTCCTATTAAGGCATACAAACACACAGACACATAGGTGACCTTTATCTGTCCCAACTATACCTTTAGCCTTTAAGTTCATATCCTACGACTCACAGGTAGATTCACCTGGGTACATTTTTTGCCAATTCCATCTTTGATTCCCTTGACTGCAGTCGCATTTTTTGACTTCTCTTTGTCCCTCATTCGTTGCTCATAAGCGATGACTCTTCATGTTGTTAAATAGTTATCCTGGGTCCATGCATCTTCTTTTTGATGTATTTCCTGAATCTACAAGTCTGTCGAGGCGGTACGCGAAATTACCGTTGACTTCCCCCTTCCAATCTTTTATTCATCATGCTTCTTGTAAAAAGACTGTCCAAGACCTTCATGATCTTCCGTTTTCTGGTGTCCTTCCCATATGAGGCCACTCATAGATATGAAGACTAAGATGATGTGGTCTTCTCTTTGGTCGCAATCTCCCTTAGCGTCATAGTGTTGGTTCGACCTTGTTTTCGCAATTTGGTCGGAGCGTCAGGGAGAGGCGTCATCGTAAGCACATAGTTACAACTTATCAAAGTGACAAGTGAAGGCAATTCCCTTGACCGATTTTTTCTCCAACCGTTGTGGTATCACTCTTCGCCTCTATTTTCTGTTCTAATCTCTAGTGCCGCATCTCTTTCTCTCAACCCCACTTCATATGGCCCATCTATCTCTTCACACAATTATGTGTTCTCGTTTCCCCCAGTGTCACCTAAAAGGGTGCCGCTACAATTGGGTTTATGGAAGTTAACTCATCTCCACCATTGGTACCAGGTGCAGTTTGCAGTGCTCCTGACCTACATTCTTCTGAGGCAGTACGCGAAATTACCGCTGACTTCCCTCTTCCAATCTCTTATTCATCAGGTTTCTTTGAAAGAGACTGTCCAAAGCCTTCATTATCTTCCGTTTTCTGGTGCCCTTTCCATATGAGGCCACTTTTTCCTTTACATTCTAGTCAATTGTAGGGCCGGTAAGGGTGGTGTGTTCAGCTATTTCCGAGCTTTCCGTACCCATTTTTCTGCATAGTTGCTAGAGTTCTTTGATCCTTGTGCTGATTGTCCTTACCGTCTCATAGATGTATTTTTGTTTACAGTCCTTGCAGTTTATGCTATAGGCTCTAAAACACTCCATTTTGTTGACTTCTTCATGTTGTGAAGGCAAACTGGTGAATAGGGTTGTCCTGTTATTCAAGATTTTACGAATATTCCATTTCCTTAGTATTGGCCGTAGCTTCCGAGCCATTTCGCATGAAAGCATACATATCCATCGTTTTTCCTCATTTGTTCTTACTTTTTTTCATAATCTCGGTCCTTCCGTAATTTCACCATGGTCCATATGTTGCGTTGTATTGCTCCTTTTATATATCCGTTTCCAAGAGACATCTGAATTAATTGTTCCAGATCCTCTTCTCTGAGTCGTAGGCTTCTAATCACCATACTCCGGATTATTTCAATCTTCATTCCATAAATATGGTTTGACTGAAAGCGAAGAGTTATTTAAGCATGTAATTTCTTTCGGAAAAGTTGTTTCTTAAGTGTTTTCTTGGAACGAAGCACCTTTACATCCAGGAAAGTTAAATGTCCATTCTCTTCCACATCCATAGTAAATTTGACTTTTTCGTCCATTTCGTTTATGAAAATCAAAAAATCTTCTAATATCTCTTTTCCATGCGACGAAAGTGACAAGCAGTTATCCAAACATCGCCTATTTAAGGTTGACTGCCGTTTACAATTCTCCTCCAACTTTTCCATGAGGTGAGAGTGGTGAACCCATAGGCAGATTAAATATTCGCTCATAGATGCGACCATTAAATGTGAGTAAGTAGCTCTTTTTCTTAGTTTTATTAATCTGGTTAGAGAATATTTATGGATTCATTCCGTCTCCAGGATATAATCTTCTTTTCCCAAGATCGCCTATAGTGCCGTAAGTGCCTTTTCTCCTGTAATGCTAGTTTACATGGACTGTAGATCAATGGTCACCAAAAGTTAGTTTCTTTCCAACCTGCGCCTTTGATTCTTTGGCGAAATTCATATGAGTTCTTAACTGTATTCAAAAATCTGTCATTCGCTTTCTTTAATTTGAGGCAGATAAATTTGGCCATTTTATCAGTTGCCCTCTATTTACTGTTGACTATCAATTTCAATGGTTCTCCTTCTTTGTGCGCCTTAGGCAAACCGTATGATACTGGGGCTCTTGTACCCTTCGGCTTGAATGAACTCATTGTCCATTTGTCGATTTTCCCATTTATACGCATTTACTTCAGTATTTCGTGCAATGCCCCTTTAATTTTAATTGTCGGGTCTTTTGCTAGTAGTCGATAAGTAGTAGTGTCCCCGAGAATATTTTCAATTTTCTCTTTTATTCGTTCCTGTACATCACCACTGTGATTCCTCCTTTGTCAGCTTACAGGACTATGATCGTTTCTTCTCAACACTCTATATCTCGATATCAGTACACTCAAAGTTTTTGTTATATTGTTCCTATCCATGGGTTCTTGATGCGTCACTATGGTTGGGATGATTTCCATTCTCAGCACTATTTTTGATTCATCAGGTAGCTTCACATCCACTAAATTGTTCCTTTCATTCCGAAGTCAAAAATGTAGTCCATTCTGAAGGGTCTCTGCATTTTTCAAGTCAAGTGGGACGGATTCACTACTTTATCTTCATTTCTTTTCTGGACTGTTAGATCCGTCATTCTATAAAAAATTTTCATTTTTATTTTTCGCATTTAAGTATTGTTTCGAGACTACCAGTAAATCAGTAGTATGAGATGTATTCACCCGTCAATTGACATACGATTGTTTTCTTTGGTCTGCTGTAAGCAGTTCATCTACTGTCAATCTTACCACCGTAACTAGATCGTATATATTTGAAGACCAGGATGATGTGGTCACAGTTAATAGAAAAAATCATGAAATTTACCTTTGAATCTCTTTATGACTAACTATTCTACCCTCTTCTACGTTTTATTTGAAAAATCAGCTAAATCCTGCACTGGAAACTCAAATATTACCAAATTTAGCCCTACCGTCTGGCAAGACTGCCCAGATCCATGTCCTCCCACATGCACCAGTTTACTGCAGCCACGGTCTGCTGAGGAATGCAGCCTCAAGGCCATTGCTCCGCTACAGGCGGGAGCATGTGTTTGCCCACCTGGACTAGTTGAATACCGCGGACGTTGTATGGAAGCGCAGGATTGTCCGTGTCGGTACCGCGGCCAGGAGTACGAAGCAGGAGCCGAAATTCGGGTGGATTGCAACACCTGGTAAACCAAATAATTCCTCCCAAAAGCCAACATTTCTAACCCCGTATACCCAGAATTTTTATTGCCTAAATGCTTGAATATGTTTATAAAACTTTGTAATTAAAAGTCACGGCATTCGCGCCTTATATGAGATTTAGGGGCAGGTTGGTTGAAGAAACATTGTCATATCTCGTCTAACGTCCAATTTCATACATGTGGGATCAAATTAAGTTATATTGCCTTTGCATTGTAGACCAACACTCTGTCAGTGTTAGGCTTCCTTTTTTACATTTGCTTGTAATCCCGCACTTTCCATACTTCCCACGAGAATACTTGTGAACATTTCCCAGGAAATCGCTTATATTACAGTCCTAGATGTTTTCAAAAATCTCATTTAGCTGCTATTATATGCTTTGAAACCAGTATCAAATACAAC